AGAGAGAGAGAGAGAGAGAGAGAGAGAGAGAGAGAGAGAGAGAGAGAGTCATTGAGTATAAAGTATAACCGTAACTGTAAAAATGTTAACTTTTCAACTAAACATAATGTATACATAATGTATAAAGTTATATTATATTTATTACTGCTTTTTTATAGCATTACAAGGTATATCCCTTTTTACCATAATTAATATAAATCAAATCATATAATAAAACTGTTGAATGAATTAATAATTTAGTCATTAAATGTTGAATTCTGTGCTAAATTCTGTACAGAATTGGTTGCATTGACTGCAATGTGTCTGTCATTCAAATATAACATAACATTTTATTTTGAAAAACAGTGATTTTAAAACATAATTCCAGTTTGACTTGAGTTGACGTAATCTATGGTATTGTCCGTACATTTCCTCAAAACGAGTTTTGCAATGATTTTGTAGTTTTAATGCAATTAAAGACAAATATTAATTGAATCCAACATTGAATTGACTGCTAATACGGGCGAAGACAATGTCGACCACCACTGCTGTCGCGCCTAACAACGACCCGCGAAGAGCCGATAAGATCATTAGGTTTGTAACCATTATATGTGTGAATGAATTGATGTATTGATTGCGATATTTGATGACCAGATATAAGGCGCCGGCCATTGGGAGCGGGAGTGCGGGCGACGACCCGTTGCCCGACTATATGAACGTGTTATCGATGTTGCTATCGATGTGTGGGTTAATGCTTAAGCTTAAGTGGAGCGCATGGATGGCACTGTACTGCTCGGCCGTCTCCTTCACCAACAGCCGCATCAATGATGACACCAAACAAATCCTCTCCTCATTCATGCTCTCCATCTCTGCGGTCGTCATGTCTTACCTCCAGAATCCGCAGCCAATGACTCTTCCCTTCACTAATTGATGCGTTCATTGTAGACATTGTTTTAAGTTTAATATGTTATGTACTTTTATTAATAATAAATACATTTATATATTCTGTTTGAATAGTATTGCAATAATTTATTTAAAAAATTAATGATTTTAGAAATGGGTTAACAAATAATGTTTGCGCTTCTCCTCAACAATTAGGACGAATCAATGACTCGAGAGTTATGGCCTTAAAGTCTATTTTATAAATCAATACTTGAATATTAAGTGTTTTTAATGAAGACATGTCTGGAGATAATGTCTTAAAAACCCGTTTCCTTAAGTGTATATTAAGTTAGAGATAAATTACTTAATGATTTCATAATTAACCAAAATTGAAAAATAAAAACAAAATTAATTAATTCAATCATTTGTTTCTTTTGTGAATTTTAGTTAAAAATCCATAAAAAATATTTTTGGGAATTTTTGATGAAAGCGTCAACTGATCGATGAGATGACAGATCTCATTGAAAGTAAAGTCTTCGTACTCTCGATAGCGTTCCTCAATATTCAGTTCCTTATAGATAGCCTTCACTCGAGCGACCGCTTCGGTCGAGTGGACGCCATAATTATCCTGAAGTTGTCTCCTTTGGTCTGCGGTCGCCGTTTGGAGAGCAGTGATGACAGGCCAACAGCATTTGCCGTCTTGGATATCAGTGCCCACTTTGCCAATCACTTCGGGATCACCGAAACAGTCGAGATAGTCGTCTTGCACTTGAAAAAAGTGACCCATTTTTAAAAGAATTTTCTCGGCGTCTGTGTGTGCGGTCGGATCCGACCAATTGGTCATAAACATAGCCAAACGCACGGGAAGACAGAACGAGTAAAAGGCAGTCTTGTATTTAACGATCGCTGAATAGCGTTCAGCCGTATATGAGTTAAAGTCCGGCTTTCGTCCCCTCCCCGGAGGGTTAGACAACAGATCCAAACACTGGCCGTAAGACGTGAAACGAGTCGTCTCGAGCATAAGGTCCAGAACATCGGTGTAATACGGCTTCCCTTTGAAGTGGTGTTTAATTAAATAATAAATACACGACTCGATGAGTATAGCGTCGTTACAAGCGGTCAGTCCGACGCCATCCTATCAGACAAGTGTTAGTAATTCAGAAACAATGCAACTCTTGTTTAATTACCTGTCGATACCAACAGAGTTGACCCCTTCGAGTGATGGATTGGTCGACGAGATCATCGATGACCAGGAAGTATGCCTGAAGCAGTTCCACAGCCCATCCCAGAATTCGGGCCAATTCTAGATTCTCAGGCGTCTGATCCCTAATCGGTGCCAATAGTCTATAAGACATGACAAGAGCTAATCCGCGATTTCTTTTGCCATTCGGAACGTTATATTGAACGACCTTTTATTGAGTTCAACGTTATTATAGTTGTAATAAATGGATAGCAATTGTGGGCAAAACTATACCTTTTCTATCCATCGAAAAGATTGAATTAATTCCAATTCATTGGACTTCGGGATCATATCCTTGAAAAGGCGGCGATACGTCTCGTCGAAAGCGATCAGTTCCTGTCGCTCCACATTAATCGTCTCAATGGCCTCCACTTCGCTGTCCTTCAGAGACGTGTCTGAAGTATACACGGAATGCCTTCGAAGACAAAGTTATCAATTATAAGCAATTTAGTGGAAAAATATCAAATGATGGCTAACTTTGCGGATTGGATCCAAAACGGGTCCAAATTCACGAATCGATTGTCCACTCGTTTGGCAAAAGCTGTCGAAACGGTTTGTCTCGTCAAAGACCTGATCGCAAGTCTCCCAAACAAACCAAACATTTTTATTGTGATATTTCTCCACAAATTGTTTAGTAATTATGAAAAACAAATTTTTATTTTTTATTTCAATCGATAAATGATTTTTTGGAAGAAATGTCAAAGTTTTGTGAAAAAGATATGAAACACAAAAAGTAGTGATGAGTCGAGAGATGAGGAGATTTGTATATGTAAGACGAGTGACGTTGACTTTAATCGCACTTCAGATCCGGTTCTCAAGAATTGGATCAAAAGTTTTTCTGGTTTTTCAAATCTCTTTGGAGTCAAAGCTTTCAATAAATAACAAAAGATTTCAATAATCGTCGATTGGCTCTCAATATCGCCGTAATCTCAGAGATATTGGCCTTTCATTGGTGTCCACAACAAGTGTGACAATCAATTGACCACTTTATCACACTTTGTGTCCACTCTTTGGTGGTGTGAGAGGTATAGGAGAGGATAGTATGGATAGTATGGCTAGTATTAGGACATACAGTGTGTGTGACGTACAGTGGGTTACATTCGGCCTCCAATTTGCATACGAATACCAGACACTTGTATTGAGTCAATACTATTGACGCAAACATTCAATACATTCAACAACACATCGCAAACCTGTCCATTCACTTCACCCCTTCAACTCTCCTGCGCTTCTCTGTATAGCAGTTATGTTCAAATGGAAAGCCAACAACACTTACAACTTATTATACATTATTAGTTTGCGTTCAAAATATATCGATATTTAACTGTTGATTGCAATATAACTTACAATTTATATCACTTTTAACATAAATAAATGAATTACAAGCAAATGGTTATAATTAAAATGATATATTCCTAATATAAATGATATTTGATGATGGTTGAAGTGACAGTTGGCACTAATGTATGGGTCCCTTAAGTGTAGCAATGATTATATGCGGGGATTTGTATGCATTGAAAATGGAGTACAAAATTATTTGTAGACATTATTTGAATTGAAATCACTTTGAATTGAATTAAAACTAATTGTAAAGCAATTGAAAGTGAGTTTAGGACAAGTGTTGGCATTCATTGAATCCATTGGAAGACTTTGCGTCCAAATCGGGGCCCAAAGAGTGGCTCAGAAGCGATGGAAAGGGTTTCGATTGGAAACGGATTGTCGGGAAGTGTTGTACGAAATGTAGTCAATAATACTGAAGGCATTGAATGCATGGAAAGCAATGACAACAACGAAAACAACGCTTTGAATGCAAACCAATCGTCAGATTATTGTTTTGTTTGCAAAACACTCTTCGATAGGAATCTGAAGAAAAGCCGCCGAAGAATACTGCGAGAGAGGGATGACTTGGTGTCACCCCTGCTATGGCTGCTGTGGTGGGCGCAGAGGACGGGCGTCTGGTTCTCCAACCACGACATGCACCTCAACGCCGGTCCACTCACTCATGAGGTGACCCAACACTTGCAACAGCTGTTCGCGTGTCGCAAGTGCTTCGAGCGGGTGATCAAACTCGAGAGGGATGTCCACAACTTCGAGACCGAAATGAATCACATGTTGGACCAGAGCTGCGATTCGCTCCTCGAGTTGAATGTGATTCGCGGCGACGAACAGAGAGTCAAAGAATTGAAGTCCGAAATACAGCTCAAGACTGAAGACAGTCTGAAGACGAAAAAAGTCAGAAAAATTATTTCTAAGAAAAAACCCAATGTTTTGATCAAAAAGCAGAAGAAGAAGACAATAATTCCATCGACACATTCATCACAACCACAACAACACATCCAAAAGACTAAACAGATTCTGTAAATTTTATTTCAATTTTTATTTATATTTGTATTTTATTTGCTTTTTTGTTAATTTTTCAGAGTATTAGCCAAAGGACAGGAAGGAGAGGGACAGCAACTGCTGGTTCTTCAGGTGCCCGCCAATGACAACGACGGCGACGACAGCCAATCTTCTGGTAATCAATTAATTGAATACAACCCTAATGTCGACCATCACTACCATAACGACGAAAACGGAGCCGTTTTTCTAAGTTCTAACGCAATTCCTGTGACCACTTGTGTGACCGTAACCTCTGATGACCAGCTTCTGGAGGTTCAGTTGGAACAGAACGATGACAATGAAATGGACGAGAGTTGTGACGAGAGGGCTGAAGAGCTCGAAGAAGTTCGAGCCGATGATCGCGAAGACATTGAGATGAGAGAAGAGGATGAGACGAACGAAGCGATTACTACTATTCCCGC